CTATCAAACTGTAAAGGCTTTATCACTTTGACAGCAGGAGTCGACTCGGCAGAAAGGAGCGGAGAGGAGGCGTGATAATGGAGGGAAGTCGGCCTCCATTTCATTCTGTTGTTCATTTGTTTGAATGACCTCTTCGTGAGGACACATAGAAATGCAGCCGTACTTTAATCGTTTTTTCACCCCGTCTGAAGGCAAACCTAGAATCACTGTCTCGTCAGATATGTGGCTTTTCCTCAGTCTCCTCTGGCCTGTGTTTTCAGAGGCGTGGCTGACAACCAGCAAAGAGCATCTCAGCGGAGCCACAGCAGCGCTCATCTTTAGCCATCGGGCTCCTGCAGCACACACTGTTGTTTCAGCGCCCGCAGCAGCTGGAGGTGGAGTTGTGTTTATTTGTGTATTTACTTTTTGTCCTTGCATTGGAGTTTTGAAGAAGATAACTGTGCTCTCTGTGTGTCTCACCTTGTGCCCGAGGAGAGGTGGAGACAGATTCTGAAAGAAAACTGCGGAGGATAAATTCCTTCCTAATCTTTAGCTGAAGTGTTGGTATGATTCAAACACCCGTTGAAAAAAAAGTGATAGTATCTGACTAAGGTTAAGTCAGAATCTGCTGCAAGATCTCCTGCCCGTGCTGCTCCAGACTAATGGGATCTAAACAGCTTGCCTTGAGCCCTGTGTTTCCTCACAATGCCGTGGCTGGGATTCCTGCTTTCCTGGAGCCGTGATGTTTAACAGGTTTGAGTCTCACCCTAGCTGTTTTGCCTGCTGGTCCACAGATGAAGTGTAAGAAGGCCTGTGCTGCTGATATGGGTATGTATTGAAATGTTTGACGACAAACACCAAAGTTCCTTTAAAAGCCAGTGAAAGGAATTAACTAACTCTTAATGACTCAACTGAAAACAAAACTGAAGCAAACAATGCAAAGACTTAGTACGTTCAGGAAAAATAACTATAGTTATGACACTTATCTCTTAGAATCCCCAGAAAAGCCACTTCTACTAATCTGAACATAATGACATATATTAGTCAAATAGAACTCAGATCTTAGGTAAAGCAGCCAAACCACAAGAAACTACGAAAACAATTAAAATTAACTTCAGCAAAAAAAATACTGATCTGTTTTTCTGGATGTCCCAATTATTTAGTAAATGTAGACCGCTTTAATGGAGCTGGTTTGTACTGATCCATGATGTACAGTTCATTTTTAAAACAATCTAGTTTTTATAATCTTAATCTATAAAAAAAGCAAAATACAGCTCCTGGATAAATGTTGCCAAGTCTTTCCAAGTCTAATTTGAGAATATTTTAGTCAATTACTCTAAAGATTATCAACCAAATGTACGTAAGTAATGGTGTGGGAACACTTAGAGATCTCTGAGCTTGGATTGCCACTTGTAACTGACGTGATGCTGTTAATAATCCAGTCAAATAAAATAATAAATAAGTCACAGACAGTTAAACTTTTACCTGTACTTGAGCCTCCATTCATTTCAACTCAGACTTTGTTTTTATCCTGTTTGTAAGCGAAACCATTAAACACCAGTTTCTCTATCTGAGCCATATGTTCAGCTCACAAATTAAGAAGAATAGATGTAGTCTAAATATTTTTATTTCCGGTAAGATAAGTCAAAACAATAAAGTGCCTGGTCCTATTTGTTTCCTGTTAGACATGGGACCTCCAGCAATAATGATGCATGCAAACAAACAAAAATACACAGTTACAAAACCCAGCATTCAACTTCTAGCAGATGGAACATTGCAAACATTGCATTCCTTTATTTTTGATTTGGTTGTTTCTCTGTGATCAGGAGCTATGAACCAGATTCTGCACACATTTTCAAAAGGTTCTGTTCCTACAGCAGATTGAACAGAAGTGGTTTGAATGAATGGCTAACCTTGTGATGATTATCTAACAGTGAAAACAGGAAGAAAAATGTTGTTCTCTTTATGAAAGTTTATGCTTTCTTGGAAATGTTTGATGATGAGCTGGTAGTAATCAAATATTCAGTATTTCAGGCTGAATCTCTTAACGCCAAGAATGGAAGAAAACTCCTCTGTCAGAAAAGACTCATCCACCTGCAGCCTGAACAAGCTCTGTGAGCCTCTTAGCCTACAAGTTAGGTAAGTACACACACACACACACACATAAATATATTTGTGTTACTTGTATTTTTGGTGCTTGAATAAAGCTCGGAAACAGAAATCAATGTTGTGTTTTCTTTCCGTGACACCCATCCTGTCCCATCACATGATTACAGGATATGCAGTAATTATACCTTCAGTCCTGTAGAGGGCAGAGTAAGATAGAGATTCCTCTTGTCTTGCATTTATGTCAAAAACTAAGCAACTAAGATAAGATGAGATAATACTTTATTGATCCCCAGAGGAGAAGTTCAGGCATTGCAGCATAAAGACAGAGAAGTAGGTAATACAAAAATCAAAACAGAATAGGAAAGATAAATGCAAATAAAATAACAATAGGAGGTATATACAGAAGAACATACATAGTGAGGTGAATGATGATGACGTGCAGTGAATGGCAGGTTAAATTACCAGTCTGAAAACAGTTTGGGGTGGACAAAGCAAAGACATTTATCTTGGGTTAGATTTTTTAAATGACAAATCTTTTTGTACAAAGAGACCTTTGAATTCTCCTTAATATGATCATTTTTTCTGATCATTTTCCTTTTTTTAAGTGCACACATTAGAGAAAGAGAAACAACTCAATCAGAAACCAGACTGGCAAAGATCACCCTCACCTCTTTGAAACACCTGCAAAACAAACACACGTGTTTTGGGAGCAACAGCATGGAATTGATGATTTGTTTTTGGTGTGTGTGTGACGAGATCACAGACAGCGTGCACTTGTGAACTCGTAGTTGACATAAACAGAACCTTTATATATTCATTCACCCAAAACTGAAACACAGAGCCAGACATTCCCTCACACCAAATAACTCTATCTGATAGTAAATTACATGTCTTCTTTTACTCCTTATACTTAGAGTGTGTATGAACCTCATATGTCAACTTTATTATACTATTATATTATATATATATAATATTTTGTTATTTACAGAACGGGTCTGAAGAAAAAGTGGCTAGAACTTTTATCAGATCAGGTTTTGTTTGTATTCTGGTTTCTGTCCTAAGTTAGTTTGATATATAAAACAAAGTAAACTTACATTTATGTTTCACAGACACTATAGTGTACCACTTTCTAATAACTACTAAATGACTTTATCAATGTTAAAAAATAATGAAATCATTAAAGATTTACCTGTACATTTAGAGCAATATTTCCTTTACAGAACATTCATATTTATGTTTATGAATTATTCTTTAATTGTTTCAGATGATCCCTACATTAAACACAACTAAAAACTATAACGCAGGGCGACTTAAAAATAAATCCATCAACGAAGTTGTAAAAATTTTTTAAAAGCCCAGACCTGATGGCTAATTCTATCAGTTAGAGCAGTGGTTCCCACAGTGTGGGCCGCAGAGCTCCCTGGTGGGCCGTGTGGGTACTGCAGGTGGTCCGCGAAAAGCCCTTCAACCAATTTTAAAAATATAAGAAATATCACAATAATGATGATTTACCATGAGTCAACCCTTTAAGTGATTAGTAAGGCGTGTCATGACTAGTCATAGACATAATGTTTAGTATACCTTTGTGTCTATCTTGTCATAATATCATTTTGTCATGTCCAATAATTTTTCCCTTTACTGAAAGTTATAGATGTTGTCAAAAAACATTTTTTATAACGGGCCCCGGAGTAATTTAGTATTTCAAAGCGGGCCGTGACAGAATTGATTTCAGTTCTCTAGTTGAAGGAAAGGTCATAGCACGTTCTGTACAATGAGCATAAACACTGATCCACCACCTGACAAAGCAATTGTTATTTTGGGAAATGAATGACGAGAACAGTTAATTACTTTATATGTTATGATAAGAGAGCTCAAGTACATTAAACACACAAGAAAATCATAAAATCGTATTATACTAAGAACAATTACACAGAGACCAGCTTCAGGGATATGCACACCTGAACAAATGTAAAGCCAACTGCTACCAATCTCAATGCTTAGAAAAGAAACTCCAATGTTTATATTATCTTGTCAACACCACATTTATCAATGCATTGCTACTAGGCTATATAACATAAAATCACTGTATAATGTAACACAATCGACCCACATACCCCCAGTCTCCAGAATCATCCTACAGTTATGTTATGTTATGTTTGAGTGTGTTATTTTCAGTGTTTAAATCAGCATTATAATCTTAACCACAGAAACAACACACAGTATAAACTCTTTAATTAGAGAGCAGAAGGAAAACTCTTCAATAAGTTCAGGAGAAGTAGTAAACATGCTGTCTGAGGTTATTAAGCCAAACTTTTTTTTTCACTCTGCTGCTGGGTGCAGAACAAGGTGTACTCCTGGATGCTGAGCGCTCTGCATCAGCAGCAACAGCTGGGTCTGTTTACAATGAGATACGCTCAGTTCCTCACACCTTAAGAGAGGAAGTTATTAACTTTACTTTTGACAAATAAAAACATCACCTCTCATACCTTAAAGTGGGCATATGGTTGGTCAATTATCCCATTCATAAGGAGAATTTGAAATGCTCTACTATTTTTCTCAGGTTTAAATGTGTTTTGTGGCCAGCAGATGGCAGAGCACACAACTGAGCTGCACAGTCTGCCACTTCGGCATTCACGTGATTCTCCTGGGAGGGGCCTGAGGACAGGATGAGTCATCTTACTGAGAATTCAGCCTCCAAAACACAGATGCAACTGCCTGCCAGTCATTCATTGTGAACAGGCGCTGGCTTACATTCACGCCGTGTGTGTGTGTGTGTGTGTGTGTGTGTGTGTGTGTGTGTGTGTGTGTGTGTGTGTGTGTGTGTGTGTGTGTGTGTGTGTGTGTGTGTGTGTGTGTGTGTGTGTGTGTGTGTGTGTGTGTGTGTGTGAGAGAGAGAGAGAGAGAGAGAGATGTACAGTGATCTGAGATTTTCTTTGGGCTGCTCTATTTGTTCTAATTATAACCTGTGATTTAATAACCAGAGGGGGGTGCGTCATTCAGCTCTTTCCCACTTTAACACATGCATCGACACACAGCTATCATTAACCCTCTCACGCCTGCTGTCAGATCAATAGTTTCCATTCAACATCTTAATAATGAAACAACTCTGAAATCAGTCCTGTATTGCCTTTTTTTTAATGGTTGCTCACACCTAGCTGCTGTTGCATACAGACAGGGTAAACACGGTAACATGAGACTGAACAGGGAGCATGGGCGTCCCTGCAGACCTCTTCAATGATTCATCCTGCAGCGAGGCAGCAGGAGAGGGATCACACTGCAGCATCTGTCAGACCAACCTCTTCATAAAAATCAACTCAAGTTTGATCCACTGTCACTTGTCACTAGAGATGTGATATGGCATGCTCCACTCATCCTGACTCTTCTTGCTTATCTACACAATATCAAGATAACACATTGAAAGAGAAATATGAGACATACATTTGATGAAAAACACCAGGATGTCGGAGGCCAACATGGCACTGATCTTGCTGGCTGTATTCATCTCAAAAAGTGAGATTCAGTGTTACTGAAAAGTAGGCAGTAACACTGGAGAGAAATGAGTGCACACACAGGACTCCCTTGGTAAATAGTTTCTGCGGAGGTCAGCCGAGACACATGCTAACCCAACAGACTAAAGTCTGATCTTAGATGTAAACATATATCATCAACACATCTGTGCTATCACATCTGGAGTGTACATAAAAGTTTGACGTTCGGGGAAAGAGACAAATGTTTGCACAAAGAAAGATAACAGGTGGATAACCACCAGCCAAAAGTTAGCTTAGCTTTAAGACTACACAGGAGTAGGCCTATACATCGCTAGCATGATATAAAACAAAATCTGACTTCTTGAGTAGTTGTTGTCACCAACATGTCATTTTTACAATTTAAACTTCTGTACCTTTGTTGAGATTATGAAAGACAAAGACAAGCAATTTGTTTTACCCTCAGAAAATCAATTCCTCACTGAAGTCACATATTTCCTAAATCACAAACCATTCCTTTAACTTTTTCCCCCCGTTCAGTTTTGTAACTTCAGGTCAACAAATTCAATGCACAACACCTGACAAGTCTTTGTTGCCATGTTTTTGTAGTTTATGAACCACAGGGTTAATAAAGACAAGAGATTATGCAGGAAACACTGACAAACAGTCACTTTTACAACATGATTGCATATATTAAACTTAAATGTGTTACCACAGAAAAACAGAATATGACAGGACAATATAAGTCTGTAAGCACTGAATGTGCAGATTCTCATCATGGGACTCAGTCTTTGGTTATAGGTGACTCTCAGGGGACAGAAAGACATAAACATGACATTAGCATAAGAAAACATAAACAATTCAATCAAGTGATGAAACTGCATGAATTATAATCAGATGACTGTCACAATGTCATAACACTTCCAGAGGTATTATTGTCAGAGACATTTAGTTAAGGTGTTGATAAAGTAATCTTGATAAAGCACCATGTGAAATGAAAGCATAAAAGTACATTCACAGTACATTGCTACATCTGTTACCGTCACTGGCACAGTATGTGATGTGTCATGAGCAGCTTGCTTTAATTGAGTTAAAAATCAGCTATTTGCAACTTAAATAAGGTCATTTTTTTTAAACCATCATTTGTATTTGACTATTTCCTTTTTTTGTAATAAAAACAACAAGATGAAGGTGTTTTAGCAATTCAACAACTATCAAGATAGGTTTGAAAGCTGCTTCTCTTTATTTATGTTTTATCCCTGTCGTAGCTACTATTTCTGACTGTTTGCGAGTCTGCCTGCTGGCATTTTCTGATTAGCTGGGTTGGGCACTAATGCCCAGAAGGACTCAAATAGACGATGCCTGCTCCCTGTTGTTTCCCCTGGGTGATGCATCCTGTCCGCTATAGCAGGGTGAACAGGCAAGATGACAATCTGTATCTCACACCAAACTTATCATTGTAATCTGAAAAATACAGCAGCTTTATTTTTTTTAATCATTTGTACTCAGTGACAAATTGTGTATTAGATTACAATTTGGTCTGAACAAGAAACATTGTTATCTCTGCAGACCCTAAGGTAATGATCAGTTATTAAGTTAAAAGGATTAAGTCTACCTTATGACACTGAAAACAGGTGTCCCCACTAAAATAAACAGGCATAAGTTAATAGTAGGCTTGAAATACTTAGCAGATGTGTTGTATTCATGATGTAAGAAGTTTTATCCAACAATTAGAGGAAAACGATTCTCCACGACTGGAGAAACTGGATGAAGAATAATGAGAAGACTTACAGGCTTAGACGATATCTGTCTCATGGTGGTCGATGGTTGTAGTACAAACAACCAGGTATCAGTTTTCAGTATTGCTTGCATTGTTAATGTGGTCATTGTGATGTGAAAAACTGCCACAACACTGTATGTAGTCAGGTTTATCTGAAATGATTCTTTAAACATGATCATCTTGGTATGGAGAAACAAGTAGATTTGATAGAAATGAGACTTCCTCAGAATCTGATTTGAGAGAATTATAGTCAAAGTAAAATGTATTGATATCATCTCATTATCCTGAATCCTGACTTCAAATTGACCTGTATAGTGTCAAAGCAGCATTTCAGCAGAAGGTAAACTACTGCAAACATGATGTTCATCATGAGCATTTAATCCCACTTCATCCTAAAATAATATAAATCACTGAAATTGCATTCAAATTCTTACAGTTTCATGTCCTGTGAAGGCCGACATACCAAACAGGACTGTAAAGACAGCATAAATAATCTACATGTTCTAGCAATGATTAAATGAGCTTTGCAAGCTCTGCATAAAAATCGATTTATCTTTCAAGCAGGAGCAGCATCGTCCAACATCTTAAGAACTAATGTTCCCCTGTGCTATAAAAAATGCTCTTTAACTGTTCTCAGAGTGAAGCCCTATAGGAAATGTTTTCATGCTGTTTGTGGAGTAATTACTGTTAGGGTAGCTATTTCTTTTTCTTTTTTTAAACACTCCTGACATTTCTAATATTTCTAGCTTCTTGCATAGCAGTTTCTTGCAGGGCAAGCCAGAATGTAGCATTGACACGTTCCAAAAAATAACCTTAATTTCCTTTTAGACTTAAACTTTTAGCAGAGTAATAAATTCAAACCTGTGAGACAACTAATCTATATTCATTCATTAAATAATTTAAAATCACAGGAGAATGTGAGTTCATGCCTAGGCATTATCACGTTGTTTGATTTGTATTTGAATGATTTTATCACTGCTGATATCTTTTTTTGAAAACACTTCATGCTACAACGAGTCAACAGTTTGAACTTTGTTTGGAAGATGCTAACTTTTGAATATTGCACACATTCAAAGCATCAATTTTCACATGAACCAAGCCATTACTTGCTCTTTGGGCTGTGCCTCTTGTTTTTTTTTACACCACCATAGGTGTGTCTGAGCACACGGAGCTGACAGACTCTGCGTCTGACCTCCTCCTCTCCCTGCTGTCCCCCTGCCACTCCTCGTCTTCCTCACCTATTGGGTTTAACCGGCCATTCTGCTCTAGCTGGTCCTTGGGTTGCAGGAAGGGCACTTGTCTGTAGGAGAATCCTCCGCCTTTTACTCTCTCCTGCTGCTCCATCTCCTCGTGAGCCTGAGAGATGCTGACAGTAGAAGAATGGAGGCTGTCTGTGGGGTCAGTTTTCTCCAGACCCTGATCTGGACAACAGGGGCAGCGGCAGGGTGTGAGGTAGAGGTAGATGAGAACCATCACCACACTCACCAAACATGCTACGAGGGTAGTGTAGGCAGTTTTTAAGTTCTCCAGTCCACCGCTTGAGGTGGAATTAAACACCAGCACAGTTACATAAAGTGTCTCATTGAAGGTGTCACTGGTGGCTAAACAGGTGTAGACCCCTGAGTCCTCCACCGTCAGGGGCCCAATCTGCAGGCTGCTGTCTGAACGCACCATGACTGTCTTGTGATCTGGGCTCACTGGGATGTTTCCAGGTAGCTCCCAGCTCTTCTTCATGTCCCTCTGTCTGGTGTCACAGTCCAGAACCAGGAACTGTTCCAGATATGCTTTTTCCTCCATCACTCTGACCTCACTGCAGTTCAAATAGACTTTGTCCAGATCCAGAACGGCCAGTTTCTCTTTCTGTGCTCCTGGTAGCAGACAGGTGAGGCTGCTCCTGTAGTCGGTGGCAGAGCTGAGCTCCTTCAGGTGCCATCTTGCCAACATGTCATACAGCTCACAGCTGCAAAGCAGAGGGTTGTTGTGGAAGTACAGGCCGTTGTTGATCCAGGCTGGCAGAGCCTGGAGCTCCTGGAGGGGGAGGGATTTGATCCGGTTGGAGGACACGTCCAACAGTCTGAGAGTTTCCAGTCGGCCCCGCTCCTTCACCAGCTCCATGGGGAAGCGTGAGATCTGGTTCTGGCTCAGGTAGAGCCTCTGCAGGTTGAGGAGGCCAGAGAAGGCAGTGCGGTCAATCTGAGAGATGCGGTTGTTGTAGAGCAGCAGCACCTCCAGGTACTCCAGCGGTTCGAATATGTACTCATCCAGCTGACGTATACCGTTAGAGGAGAGGTCTAGGGAACGCAGCCTGCTCACGTGGACAAATGCCTCAGAGGAGAGGAAAACGAGACCGTTGTGGCTGAGCAGCAGACTGTCCAGCCTCATGAGTTTGATGGGGGTCCACTCGGCGTGAAGTCTGGTGATGGAGTTGAAGCTGAGGTCGAGGACGGCAGTGTATCGAGGGAGGGCGAGGGGAACGTGTGTCAGGTTCATCTTTGAGCAGCTGACGATGTTGCTGGCACAGACGCACGTCTTGTGGCAGTCCAGAGGGCTTCCTATGAGCTGCCCGCCGACTCGCACTGACGCCACCAACAAGGTCAGAGGTAGAACTACGATGAGGCTCCTTCTGCTGAACGCTGCTCCAGAGGCATGCTGGGAAAGCCACCGTGACCCCACCATCATGACAGGATCATAAACTACAGGAGCCTGGATGCGTATTGGCCCTCACAGTGGAGAGTCATGGAGCTGTAAGGACAAGTGTACAAGGAGATCATTAAAACATTTATAAATGATAAATAAAGATCAAGATGAAAACTGTGAGGTCATCCTTTCTATGACATCATCATGATGAGCCCCTTGTTTTCATTCACCCACCAGACAAACATATGATAAAAAAAAGTAAAACAACGAAATTTCAAAATAAAAAGCTTTATGAATACATTAATGTCGACATCAAACTGATTTAGAGACATATTTTGAAGTGTCCGTTTCGTTCAATCATCACCATCAGCACACTATCTCCTCACTGAGCCACAGATATCTGTCCCAGCAGACACCAGCGTCCCGCTCGCTGCTGCTGCTTCTTTACCTTCAGTCGCTCTCTGAAGACCCGAGGAGGGAGAAAAAAGGAGGAAGTCTTCACAAGTCCAGTCCCGCAGAAAATCCGTTACGCAGGACAGTCTTCTTCTTCACAGCCACAGGACAGAGACACGCGGTCGGTCCGGGAAGCACATGCAGAGTGACCGGAAGGGCCTCTCTGCAGTGTGTTCAGTGCTGGTGAGGAGGGTAACCGAGTGACAGCTGATAACTCGATAGGAGCGCTAGCGGCAGAGCAGGGGGTGTGTCCCATTTCCCCGTTCTCTCTCTCTCCATCTATCTCTCTTTCTCAGTCTCTCTCTCTCTCCCTCATTGCTTCATTGCCTCTCTGTCTCTTCTATTTGATCATAAAAACAGAACATACTGAACAATGAGCAATAACATGGAATGACATTTGATACAGATACTTTATTAATCCCTAGGGGGAAATTTGAAAATCCATAATGTGCATCACATTGAAGAAGGTCATGTAACGGTTAAGACTGCACCTTTTCTCTAATTACTTTTGCATCTTTCTTTTTATTCATTACATGTATGTGTGTGTACTATTTTTTAGGAGATGCACTGATTTTGTTGTACAAAGTACAATGACAAAAGTCATTGTATATAAGACACTATATCATTTAAACACTAACAAGGTGAAGCTGTCATTATTAGTGGAATATCACACTTCTTCCTCTGCTGGTCATTGACACTACTATTATTCTGTGAGCCATAAATACATTTCATTTGGTGCCTGCAGCCTTTTTTGTGTGAACATGTTGAATATTGATTTCTTACATCTAGGGAATGACATGTCTTTGAAATGAGCCATAACACTGCAGGCTACTTTACCTCATTGTTTCTTCTACATTATTTAATCGTCTCTCATCAAGGTGCAGTTTTCCAAAATGTTGTGCTTGACCTCTGGGGGGTTGCAAAAGTGTGATGATGTGTGTGTGTGTGTGTGTGTGTGTGTGGGTGGGAGGGAGGTGGGGGGGTGGGGTGGGGGTGGGGAACTGCAGCTGCAGCTGCAGCAGTCTTAAAGCGCAGGATGTGATGTGCATGCAGCAGTGTGTGAGTAATCAATATGCAGAGTTCAGAGCAGCATGCACAGCGTGTGTTTAGACTCCTGTCCTTTGACTGACTTGATGAAACACTGAAAACATTCAACTGAAGAACTGTCATTTGCTGCATTCAGTTTAGGTTATGTGGGTGGGGGGGTGTAATGGTGTTATTTTTAACACATTATTTTGCAAATATGCCAATTTATACTGTAAGCAGAATAAATATAAATGAAGGTTGGGTTGGCCTCATGGGGGCAGTAGAAACTGTACTAGCTAACAAACAATATCTGTGTCCTCAACCATGTTCTTCTAATCATGAAGTGTTAAACAGGAAGTGTACAGTGGCTGTTTAAAACACCCAGCTGTGAACAGCACAATGAGAGAGGTCAAAAATACATTTATGCTAATGTGCATTGTAACAAAAAAGTCCCAGTATCTTTGAGCAAGTCTTTTGACAATGATTTTACATTGTCAGTTGATAGGTAGTTCTTAAATGTTTCTTTGAGCCGCCTTAAAACCATATTTTGATTCAAGGATACTTATAGACGCAGCGGCTCAAAACAGGTAATGAAAAAGAACGAAGATCATAATAAGGCCCTCGACATATCGGTGGATTTTACGCCTTAGTCTCGCTTTTTCTAAAACATTTGTATTTTTACCATTAATAATATAATAAGGACCCTGATGCAGCTATAGAAAATGCATTAATCTTAACTTTCTGTCCGACAGTGTGAAGATGGAGAAGGTCAAAGGGGTGATGATTCAGATGACAGGATGACAGATAAGCATGTGTCTCAGGGAGAGCTGATCATTAAATACATGTTGTGAATCTTTGAGTACAAGGTCACCTCACAGAGAAACCCTTACAGGAAGATGACGTGGGCCAAGGGTCTGGTTACCATGGGAGACAAGGGGAAGAGGTGATAGTGGAGATAAGAGAACACAGTGTGTGAAGGAAACATTTAGCGGGTGAGATGATGAATATGAGGAATGAAACGTATAGACAAATAAATAAAAATTTACTGTAAAAAAAATGAGATACAGTGTCAAAGGCATGAGGAACAACCACAGAAGCTGGGTTAGCTGGGTGCAACCCATTGTTATGCAACACATGATCCTGACCTGTGAGTGTTGAATTAAAAGCTTCAAACTGTGGACAGTAATCAGGGCATGGCTTCAAGGGGGGAGTACGTCACACTGTGAGGTGTCGCCAACAGGACAGTGATGCATTACCCCAACCCTGTAGCCCATTAGCTATCCTCTGACTATGACATATCACCTCAGAGTCCACCAATTTTCCAGGGCTTCAGGTGTAGCTAGCATTAGAGATACAGAAGTTCAGAGCAGCATTTCCTTTTCCTTGTGTTGCCTTTGTTTACTTCCGGACCAGCAACAAGTAAAGTGAAAATGGAGTTTAAGAGTTAACAGATTTATAACTGCACACCATGCAGATATGTGTTGACAGAGATTAATAGACAGCTGAAGGGTTCCAGGATTACAGAGGATTGCGTTTTACTATCCTCGTGAACTGTTCACATGTATACAGCCAAAAGTTTCTGAACAACTATGATACCTGAAATAACAAAGGATAGGAAAACACTTCCAAAATGTGATGTCTACATATTCTGAATTTTTAAACACAGATTATGTAAATAGAGATTATACAATAAGACTGGTTGCATGCCACAGTGTTTAAATAAATATATCTAACAAGCAAGAAGGAAATAATCCATGTGGAGTCCTGATGCGCTGATAAGACTGCTTATACTGTCTACTTCATACTGTCACACCAAGGTTTTGAATAAAGAGCTGCAAACAGGAAACTAACAATTTGGTACCTTCGAAAACAGTATACAATACCTCATTATACAACTTCTCCATTTGAAGCTAAAATGCTCCATTCAATGTATTTTCTGTTTAAACATACATATGTTTTAGTTACACAATGTAGTCTACTTCAAGCTCTCATCATGCAGAGTGGATCCTGTTAGTGATGTTTCGATGACATCAAGACATTTAACATGACCTCATTCAGATTATATTATTATATATATTTTATAAACAATTAATTGGATCTTGTTGATGGTGCGGTCACCGGTTGCTAGTCAACTGTTGTTAGTTGAATTTTAACTTAAGTTTTAGTTTGTTAAACTACTCGTATGTTTTATTATGTGACACGTTGTTAAGATTGAAGTTAGATGCTTTCTCTGTGTATTTTGGTGACTTAGAAGTGGAAAGTAGTGTCAGATTGAAATACCTTACACGGAAGTTCTATACGTTTTTATATCAATACTTGAATAGAAGAACTGCTAAAATGCAAAATGTTAACATGTAAATGTTGGCTACGTTTAAATAAAATAGATAATATTTGTAGGGATGTTTGAGAGACAGTACTCTGTGACATACTCAAATAAACTCAGTGTGGTAGAGTTTGTCGTCAACAGGAAAGGAGGGGTGTGCGACCCCCAGCCCAGTCACATGTCATAGTGTCCATTGGCAAATCAAGGATGCCTGCTGCTAAGCCAGCGGAGTGTGAATGTGTGTGAATGGAGTAATAATGTGTCTTTGTAAATAATGCTGTATCTGAATCTGATGAGCTGTGATCATCATCCATGTTTCATATTTTAGAACAACAGAGGGATTGTTTGAACTAAAAAAAACTGGTTAGACTTGAATGATTTATTGAGAAAGTTAAAAATGGCTAAATGTGGAGAGAATTGGTTTTCAGTTCATGATGACAGTATTCATCATGATTACTTGATATGGAGCTGAGTAACAGCGACTGAGGCACCATGCATCTGCTCGCCCCGCTGTGTAATAATGTGACATGGATCTCATGGAGCAGCAGTAATTATCTATCATTAGTGGGGGTTTTTAGTGTGAGGACACAGAGATACATGTGCAAGAAACTCACACACACACACACACACACACACACACACACACACACACACACACACAAAAACAAGCATGTAATGCTATTTCTGCTCATCAAATGAAGCCTTGCAGCCATAATAAAGTTAAAATGAATGCAGTGCGCCCAGGCTCGACCTACAAACACTAGCCTACAAATCCCATCAAAAGATTGAAATGAAAGTAGATAATTGATCTTCCTGACATAGATCTTATAGATAAACTCTGATATATACATCTCATGGCCTGTAGAGCTTCACTGTTGTCAACAAATCACACAAACAGATCACACTGTTGTTATCACAGTTATTGTAAGTCAAACCCCAAATACCAAAACCAGCTGCAGTAAATACTCACAATCTCATCATATTATTACAAGGCTAAAAACAGTCTCTCAAAAGTAAATAGTTTACTTCAGCTCATGCAATGTTTGGTAACAATACAATGTGCTTGTGCTTCTTCTGAGCCTTTTCTAAACTCCACAGTTTATACCTGTGACCTGTTATGTAACGATTCAGATCTTCAACAGAATGATGCAACCTCTGCTGAATCCATTTAGTCACATTTTTCTTATGAGTGTACATTCTATATGCATCTTCTATACTGTCTCAAACTCCCCTCTAAGGGTCACAGCAGTCTGTTGACGAAGCCGATTCAACCTGATCTGTGTTCCATTTGAAGGTATCACATGATGTTTGTGTTGTGTTAGGCAGCAGCCTGATGGATGGACTTCCCTCTGACGGGAGATTTACCGTCCTCTTGTGAATAATTAATGAGGTACAGTGGCAGCAGGTTAGGATGATATCCATCAGCTGTTAAGAAGAAGAGCTGCTCGCTGCTCTCAGCCGGGACATGGAGGCTTTGTTTCGTAAAAAACTATGACTTTAGTGTTACATTGCATGCACACAACATAATAATAGCTTTATTTATATAGCACCTTTAAAAACAAATGTTTACAAAGTGCTGTGACAGACAAAGCAAATACAGCAACACGACAACAGAACAAAGATTAACAGGGAGGGCAAAATTGTAAAAATGCAAATAACAGGAATAAGATAGATCCAACAGGCAGGTATGGAGAGGCAGTTCAGTACAGTGAAGGAAAATTAGTTTAAAATCAACCAGGAGAGAACAAAATTAAAATTGAGGGAGAGTGGGATGATGTCACATCACAGGCTGTAAAGACAGAATGAAGATATAAAGAAGGGATAAACAGGACATTG